TTAACGTTTATTTATTTTTGAGAGCGGGAGAGAGAGAGCGAGAGAGGGCGAGAGCGAGCATGGGCAGGAGAGGGGCAGAGAGAGAGGGAGACAGAATCTGAAGCAGGCTCCAGGCTCCTAGCTGTCAGCACAGAGCACGACTCAGGAGTCCAACCCACGAACCGTGAGATCATGACCTGAGCCAAAGTCAGATGCTTAACCTACTGAGCCACCCAGGTGCCCCTCTAGTTTTTTGTTTTTTGTTTTTTTTAATTTTTTTTAAAGTTTATTTATTTTTGAGACAGAGAGAGACAGCATGAACGGGGGAGGGTCAGAGAGAGGGAGACACAGAATCCGAAACAGGCTCCAAGCTCTGAGCTGTCAGCACAGAGCCCGACGCGGGGCTTGAACTCACGGACCGCGAGATCATGACCTGAGCTGAAGTCGGCTGCTTAACTGACTGAGCCACCCAGGCGCCCCTCTAGTTTGTTTTTAATAAAAGTAACCTTAAAGTAACATGGAAGAGTAGTTCTTTATAAGAATCTAAAATGATGACGTAGTCAAAATCTACTACTGAAATATTTCATGAAGCCCCAGTCACTGGGCCTTCCCTGTCATAACTCACTGGCCTTTCCATCAGTTCTCTTAAGTGCCATGAATTTGTCACATGCAAATCCAAGGACTCAACTTATGAGCCCTCACTAATCTCCTTTATACAACAGTTTTCGGTTTCCCAATCTCATCCTTCATTGTCAGTTTTAATCTCTTTGAATATAACACCAAACTGTGTATCAGTCGTTTACTGAGAGTATATCATGTGCCCACAATATGTCAGGTGCTGCGCGGCCAGCAAGAGAACATTTTCCTGAACCTATTGACAATGCCATGGGGTAGAAGGTGGCAGCAGGTGTGAAACAATCAAAAAGAAATCAACAAAAACACCCATAGGGCTAGAAATAAACATAGTAGGATGTCAGCAAAGAGTGCCTACTGTAAGACTATGAAGGCTTCCTGGAGGTGGTGGCTTGAAGTGAGTCCTAAATGATTAGGAATGTTTAGGTGAGGGGAGGCATTCCAGACTAGAGAAACATAGTCCGCAGAGGTCGAAAGCAAGAGGGCAGAGTGATCTGTAGGGTAACTGGAGCTCAGCAAGGAGGAGAGTGGATGTGAGACTGGAGAGGCTTGGTGGGCCAATTATGGAGCGTTTTAAGGGTCAGTCAGGAGTTAAATTAGATACAACATGATCAACAGTAGGGAATCACTACAGCTTCTTGGGTGGAAGATTTGGAGCCAGAGGCACAATTTGGGCAAGACTGGGCTAATGGCAGCGACCAGAAAGGGCTGGAGAGAGGAAGGGAGGAGACGCCCCAGGGCACCCCACTGCGGGGGCACAGAGGGAGAGAGGTGTGAGGGCCCTTGTCCATCAGTTGCCTCATCTAGCAACTTTTTAGCTGGTCCTCGGTTCAGGCCTGGGCTCCTCCTCCTCCTCCTCATTTCCTCCTCCTCCTGATCTTTACCTTTACCCTCTCCAAGGCCTGGATCCATTCCCGTGGTCCTTGTTAGCCCTCAGAACCACAACAAGAAGGCTAAGAGAAACTCAGCAATTTGGACCCATGTTAGAAATGCTTCTCTAGAGCTCAGCGCTAACAATCTCCTCTTCCTCCTCCTGCATCCTTTCCACCACCGTCCTCACAGCTGATGGTACCGAGCATATATGTTGAGCTGGGATGTGACAGCCCTTCACACTGGTCCTCTCATTTACTCCTTGCATCCTCCTACAAGACAGGAATTACCTAGCCCATTTGACAGTTTCCAAGGTCCTACAACCAGGAAGTGGCCGAGCCCCACAGTGAACTCAGGCCTGACAGTTTAGCCTAGGTCTGCAGTGTTCTAAGTGAACCAGGCTTTAAGTGTCACGACTGAGGGTCCACTTCCTAGGAAAACGGTCTGCGAAATTCTGGCTGGGATTCCTCTCTGCTTCCTCCTGATGTGGCTTCACAGAGTTCCACTTTCCCCTTTCCATCTCAGCAAATCTAAATCTGCCTGCCAGCCTCATGGCCTCTCACATTTAGTTAACGAGCACATCATGTGCATTTGCTATTTTCATCCGTGTGAAATTAACTGCCTCTTTGCGGTATGTCTAAACCACGCATCATTCACACTCGGGCACATGCATGCCACTTCCTTGGTCAGTGGAGTACACTGCAGATAAAAAACAGGAAAAACGTTTTGTTGTTGTTTAATTGAAGTGTTTCATACGTGTGGCAATCACCAAGGATTAACTTTAATTCAAAAGGATGAATGACAGATCTGAATCAAAATGGGCCAGTTATACTATAACATTCTAACCTTTTTTTTTAATGTTCATTTATTTTTGAGAGAGAGTTGGGGGGGCGGGTAGAGAGAGGGGGGACAGAGGATCCAAAGCAGGCACTGTGTTGACAATAGCAAGCCGGATGTCAGGGTCAAACTCACAAACCATGAGATCACGACCTGAGCCGAAGTCGAACACTTAACCAACTGGGCCACCTAGGCACCCTTTCTAACTTCTTTTTAGCAGAAACATGTGCATATTCTATGGGAGAGCAGTTAAGAAGGAAAATGTATCAATTATTATCAATTACTTAATTCCCTAAAATGGTTAATTAACTTTTATTAAGGAGATTAATTAGGGAGTTAGGTGGGTACTTTATAGGGAGTTAGGTGGGTACTTTAGGGGTTCATGAGACTTTGACCCACCCTGCTGGATCTAAATTTAAGATTTCAGAGATATGTTTTCAATGTTTCTCTTTTTTTCAAAGCTATAATGTCACGACGATCCCAACACACTGTCAAAAGCTATGGGCCAGTTTGCTAGTATACAGAGAGGGAGACAAACTGTAAGAGACTTTTGAATACAGAGAACAAACTGAGGGTTGCTGTTGGGGTGTTGGGTAGGGGGATGGGCATTAAGGAGGGCCCTTGAAACCCTGTGGCACTGTTGGTGGGAATGCAAACTGGTGCAGCCACTCTGGAAGACAGTAAGGAGGTTCCTCAAAAAATTAAAAATAGATCTACGCTGTAACCCAGCAATAGCACTGCTAGGAATTTACCCAAGGGATACAGGAGTGCTGATGCAGAGGGGCACTTGTACCCCAATGTTTATAGCGGCACTTTCAACAATAGCCAAATTATGGAAAGAGCCTAAATGTCCATCAACTGATGAATGGATAAAGAAATTGTGGTTTATATACACAATGGAATACTACGTGCCAATGAGAAAGAATGAAATCTGGCCTTTTGTAGCAACGTGGATGGAACTGGAGAGAGAGTGTTATGCTAAGTGAAATAAGTCACACAGAGAAAGGCAGATACCATATGTTTTCACTCTTATGTGGATCCTGAGAAACTTAACAGAAGACCATGGGGGAGGGGAAGGGAAAAAAAATGGTTAGAGAGGGAGGGAGCCAAACCATAAGAGACTCTTAAAAACTGAGAATAACTGAGGGTGGATGGGGGGGTGGGAGGGAGGGGAAAGTGGGTGACGGGTATTGAAGAGGGCATCTTTTGGGATGAGCACTGGGTGTTGTACGGAAACCAATTGGACAATACATTTCATATTAAAAAAAAAAAAAAAGGAGGGCTCTTGATGGGATGAGCACTGGGTGTTACACGTAAGTGATGAATCACTAAATTCTACTCCTGAAATCATTATTACACTATGTTAACTAAACACGGATTTAAATAATAATTTTTAAAAAGCTATCCGCCATTCTCTTCCCTTCCGTCTTACTTGAGGCCTCAGCAAACATTCCTGAAACTGAAAACACTAAAGCACCTGAGCTCCTCCCCTCTGGGTACCAAGAGATCACAAACTTGACACACCCTATTTCTCCTCCTGGTTAGAGCTCTCTTCCATCACACATCTTCCTTGTTTGTATCCCTGCTAGAGGTGTGGTGCAACCCAGTCTGACGTATGCAGGAACCCAGTACTCTGCAAAGCTGCTACCCGAGAAGGCACGTCTTTTAGTTGTGCTGACGATTACATTTGAGAAACCCTGGGGAATGCAGACCTTCACGCTCCTATTATTAAAATTGTCACAAGGACCGAAAAAGCTTCTCCCGGAGGCTGGACTGTGGCCCTAGCACAGGAATTGCCAACATGAGTTTTGTGATTACCAGATTAATAACAAGGGGCATGCCGACATTTTAAAAAAGAGTCCCAGAAATAACTAATCTTAAATTTACAGAATTCAAAATACAAACTTAACATACTATTTTCTTTCCCACTTTTCTTTCTCTGGAGAGAGGTATATGACTAAATGAAACTCTAAAATGCTTGAAACAACACCGCTGTGATGTATTTGTCCAAACGTAACCCAGGCCAAGGCTGGTGAATTTTAGAAATCTGGACACCTAGCATTAAGTCTTTCTGAAATTCTAGGCCTCTGGGAACAGAACTGATAGTTTTTATGCTACATTATCTGCCACCGAATTTGGAACAGAATTTTAACATTAAATGTGGATGGAGAATCCAAAACTACTAAAATTATACTAATCTGAATCAATAAAATAAATATGTGTACGTTGAATTGTTAAATCGTAAATCTTCATATTTATATATATTTCAAGCACCAGAAAGCACTCCAGCTCTGAAAATAAAAATTCTTTTGTTTTTCCTACCTTGGAGAATAAAAATACCCGATATCTTTTGTTCTAAGATATATAACCTAAAATATCAAAGTATTTAAATACGTCTATGTATTTAATGATATATTTGCATATATATTTTAAAATATACATAACACAGATACACATTTATCGATACAATAAACACCTAAGGATTCTTGTAAGAAATTTTATCTGTGAGCTGATTCAAAGCATAAATAACAGGCTACAATTTCCAAATATTTGGACAGAGGCCACAGGAAGAGCCTGTGGCACTTTATATAAGCACGTCAGACTCAGAAGCCTATTTTTAAGCATAATAATAGAAACATCATCAACTATCATAATGTAATAAAATAAAAGTGATTTCTTACTGAATACTGGGAAAGACGTATTTCCTTTTAACACTTGGAATTCTTGTTCTAGTCGTCTCCGTAAATCTATTTGTTCAAATAAAACCTTCTGAAGTTCTTCTAATAAAGAAAAACAGAAGAGTCATTTTACTAATCTTTACAAATAACTCTCCAGAGAACTGTTATACATGGCAATTTATTATTAGAAGACAAAATATTTTACCAGTTTAAAAAGTGTTGCATAGACATAGGATAGATTTTGTGCAGAAATCCATGAATATAAATCAATGTAATATATTATTTTAAAGTATTATATTACAGTGTCATGTATTGATTGATATGTATGCATTAATCTCAATTATATCCACCCAATGGTCCATATATTATTCATATGTTGCTTGTCAAGCTTAAAATATGGTGTAGAACAAAAATATCCTCCTATTATCTCCATGGTCTTTTGAAGCTAAGAGAAGTTCTACAGAATTAAAACTTTTCTTTACCTTTCCCCATATTTTCGACATCCTTTTTGAGTGAATGAGGTGAATTTGTTTCTTGTGTGTGTTCACCTTTAGAAAGAAGAGAACAAATATTGGTTTTGTGTAGGCTATTTTCTGAAAGTTTTTCTTTTCATTTTCTTTTCACATCTACGAAGAAGCGTAGTTGGTATGACTGGAAGGTGGAAGTCCTCAGAACCAAATGTTGTCCTCATTTACTCACGTACAATTCCCCTGAGGCACAGCGGCAGCTACAGGAAGCAAGGGCGCAGTCAACCTAGCCTGAAATGGCGGCCCCGTGAAAGCAGATTCCGGAAGTTAGCCCCCTCCCAGGCCCCACCACTATCCATCTTCTACAACAAAGGTACTTGTTAAATGGGCAAAAGAGGAGGTTGAACAGTTAACATATCCAGAAGAATTCAGACCAGTTCCTCTCCTTCCAGAAGTGAAGGAGCCTAGTGTCAACCAGAAGGCCCCCAAGGCTGAGGAAGCAGAAACCTCCTACCTTCTTGGGTCACCAAAATTTGGGATAGTTAGAAAGAAACATACTTTTGTTGCCCTTGGGAGCGAATTTATAAGCCTGGAATAATTTCCTAATAACTGATAGGTATTTTTTTTTTTTTAATTTTTTTTTTCAACGTTTTTATTATTTATTTTTGGGACAGAGAGAGACAGAGCATGAACGGGGGAGGGGCAGAGAGAGAGGGAGACACAGAATTGGAAACAGGCTCCAGGCTCTGAGCCATCCGCCCAGAGCCTGACGCGGGGCTCGAACTCACGGACCGCGAGATCGTGACCTGGCTGAAGTCGGACGCTTAACCGACTGCGCCACCCAGGCGCCCCTAGGTATTTTTTTTTTAAATCAACCTAAAACAGAGGTGTGAAATGTTATCTTATGTTGTTTTGTAATATTCACATGCTTGCTGATAGTTTCAGAACTACTTGTCTTCAACCAATAAAAACTAGATTGTAGATAAAGGTTAGGTGTTATTCTCTCCTATTTTGTTTATGTGCTAGGATGGCAAGCTAGGAAAATGTCCTTATCTACAGTCATAAATTGAATCTATGTAATCTAGAAAACATAAATAAACCAAAGAAATCCAATCACTTAGCTAACCAGAATCTATTGTTCCAATTTCAACTTGCTATCTGCAACTATCCACATAATGTAACTAAGCTTTCCATTTTCATGTACAGACGGTATAGACAAAGGTGCTCTCAGGTTTCAGGGATCCCCTCACCCCTTGACCCCCTTCTGGGTTAGCTCCTTCCTCTGCACCCATGGTGCTGTTTGCTTACTCACTTTCCACACTCACCAGGCAGCGTGCTCCTTGGAGATAGGGGCTCTGTGTTTCCTGCATGGCCAGTGCTTAGCAGAATGCTGGATACATAATAGGTATTCAAGAAAGTGTTTTCAGTTGTCACTGAAAGGAACTCCAGGAGCTCATAAATTCTAAACTATAGCGTGGGCCCGAATGCAGCATTTCAATTCTCTCCTCACTATGTATTCATTTCCCTTCTTCAGCAAGAAATAGAATATAATGGCCCTAGGCACTTGTAGGAATACTGGGAGATTTCATCGTCAAGGTAAAAGTTCCCACAAAGAGGGAAACAGAATTTCTCCACAAAGCAGTGGCCTACAGCATCAAGGACAGACAGGAAAATACTTAGCATGATATTATAAATGGATGGGGATTCTGCATTCTACCCGATGACCATTGGGAGTAAGTATTTGCAGGAATGAGTGGATGCATATATGTGTGCATATATATGCAAATATTCCTGCACATGTGCATAGTGATGAAAAGATGCTTGCCCTGGATCCCCATCATAAGGACAATAATATCTTAGGCATCCCTGAGTTCCTTAACGACAGGTATTTTCTCTACTGTCTAGATCATATCTGCACAACCTCATTCCCACTTTCATCTTGGACATGACCTCTCTCCATAGGCTTTCAACATTAAGACCTTGGCTTTCTTCAGGGGCGCCTGGGTGGCTCAGTCGGTTGGGCATCCGGCTTCGGCTCAGGACATGATCTCACGGTTGCTGGGTTCAAGCCCCGTGTCGGGCTCTGTGCTGACGGCTCAGAGCCTGGAGCCTGCTTCCAACTCTGTGTCCCTCTCTCTCTCTCTCTCTGCCCCTCCCCAACTCGTGCTCTGTTTCTGTCTCCAAAATAAATAAATCTAAAAAAAATTTTTTTAAAGACCTTCGCTTTCTTCATACAAAATAATGAAAATATCTGTGAAGCATTTTAAACATGCACCTTAATCTAATTCCTGCAAAATACTACTATCTAAAAGAAGAGTAACATGAAGGCTGATGAGAAATCATAAATATAGAAACCAAGAGTAATGGTATTTTGAAATGAAACAAAATGCATATTGCATGCAGTGTTACCTCTGTCTCCTCCAGTCTCAATCAGTCAAATGCATAGCTGTTTCACACTCACATACAATGTTGAGTCTGAACAAGAGAAGAAACAAGCACGCCCGTCCCTCTGTATCCATCTGCAGGGCAGAGTGACATTTCACCATCTTGCCACTGTCCCAACTACTAGGGAGCATGGTTTAATGGAGATTGTTCGTGTCTGAACAGGCAACTCTAGAAGTCATGTCCTTACCACACTACAGACCTTTTTGATTCATTAGTGTATTGTGTGGCCCGTTTATCTTGCATTACATTTCAGTGAGATAATTAATTGAAAAATTACAATGGGATATGTAAAAATGCAGGTCTTGCAACTTCACAATTTGGAGGTTTACATAGGAGTGAAACCATTAAACAAATGGCTAGCAAATAGAAAGCACGTCAACAACAAACAAATGTGATAATATTAATAATAAGCTTTTCTTTTCATTAGCTTTTTGCAGGTTTTATTAATACTTTACATGGGGGTCTATTTCAGATAGATGCTTTGCTACAACTTCTCGGTAAAACCTGCCAATTTGGAGCTTGGATGATTCAAATGTCTCACTTATAAAGTTTTTTTTTTTTTTTTAAATGGTTAAATGTTAGGTAAATAAAGAGCACAGACGTTTCAGCTGCCTTTTGTGTATCTTTTACTGGACCGTTGCCTTTTGTATATTACTAATCTGTAAAACCAGATTGTTAATGGTGGTTAAAAATGACCTCTGGGAGCCTGGATATGTTTGTTCACTATTACTGCTAATGTTTTCCATCTGGTTTAAAAAAAAAAAAAGGCAGTCTAATACTAGATTAAATAAATGAGATTTAGTTGACAATAAGCTTCCGATTTTTATAAATATTCCATTAGGTTAGATGCATTTTACTTTTCCAAAATTAATGAATAGGTTTGGAGACATCCAAAAATTAAAATGTTTACTTTCCTTCCCACCGTATTTCCCCCTAAAAAAAAAAAAGTTACAAAAAGGCAGAGGGAGACCTTAATTTTCCTTTGGAGTTATAGGAAGGAAAATTATAATATGGAAGGAACATCTTTCTTGGAGGCCAGGCCTAAAATATATCTTAAATCAGACTGTAAAAGAAAACAGTCAGGTGGCTTAAAGTTGGAGAGTAATGGATAATCAAGATATAAAATGCATCCAGTGAACTGATGTGACCAGAAGCTGCTGCTCAGGGACATGTCTACACCAGGATTCCACAAGTACATGTTCCAGGAGCCAGTTTGCTGTGACCTGCCTCGCTGCCCATGAATCCTGCCTGCCCTGGAGGGGAGGGGCAACATAGAGCCACATCAGGGAAACTACATCCCTGAGGGCAGTGAAGCCCAGAGAGCCTGGGGCTATTTGGTTCCTGCTCCCGTGGTCTCTCCAGGGTCCTCCGGCACCAGGCGGACCCACATTCCAGGTGAAAGTTCCATTCATAGCACCTCCTTTCACGGCACAAGGGTAATTACTTTCTCTTAAATATCATGGCACACCTCTGCTCAAGAACCGTGCCATGGCTCCTGATGTCTACATTGCACAATCCACTCTCAGTTCCTCCCCCGTCACCTCCAGGTTCTCCCACTCAGCTCAGCCAAGCTTTCTCTGTCAGTAAGCACAAACCTTTTACTCTAATCGGGCCCTTATTCCTCATGTTGGCTGGCTTTGCCTTATGTTTTCACTCTTGCTTCAGGTGTCCCTGCCCATCCACCCACAATGATAATGCCACCCAAGTCCCTACTCTTCCGTAACGCCTTTCCCGACCTCTGCAAACGCTGCTGATCCAAGGGCTGAAGTTCCAAGTCCCTATTGTCTTCACTCTGCCACCTGACGTCCTGGGGTTTCAACTCTGCAAGTCTGGTCTTCCCCAGCTAGAAAATCTGCTTGCTGAGGGGAGAGAGACCCTACCCAACAGGTAACCCCATCACCTCTACCTTCAGGAGGGTGAAATACATCCCGCAAACACCGTTTCCTCTTAATTTAATTCAATCTGGTTTGTGAAAGAAATACAAAGTAATGTCACTTTAAATCCTCAATCATCATCATTTTAAGCACTAACTCATTCCTATGAATGAAAAAGCACATGTTGATCCATTTGGCTATCTGAAGACGTAGTCTATATTTTCAGTTTACTGGGGAAGTTTGCAATATTTCAATTTTTGTTCCTATCTGACATTTTGAAAATTTCTTGCGGAGCTAAAACCATAGCACTGAGTTTTAACCGGGGCATGAAAATATTAATGTAAAAGTCTTCCATGATCTCCAAGAGCCAAAATACCTTACATTTTTAGAACTCATTTAATTTTAGGAGTCAAACGAGTAGGTCAGATGACTTGTTCTGTTGGTGGTCACGGGATGATAGGACAAAAAGCTGATTAAATAGGTAATTACTCTTCTCAAGCTAAACTTGAATCCAAAAAACAAGATCATTCAAATATTTTGTACAAATATGTACAAATGTGTGTACATACAGGGTACAAAATGAAATGCCTGACCTTTGGATGAAGAGTGAAAACGCTGACATTCACATCCCTTCTACGGAAATATATTCTCTCTCTTTTCATTCTCCCCTCAGTGTTAAACTCCCTGGAGCCTGCAACCAGCATTCGGAGGCTCTGCCCCACAAAGCAGCCCCAGGGGCTGGCAAGTTGCTTATCGCTAAAA